GCAGGCTTGGAGCGGCTCTGACAGCCCCGTCGCGAGGGCAGTGCTTAACTAGTCTGCTCGCTTCGCGTGCTCCGCATGATCTAGCCTTGCGCCTGCCTGCGCAGTGCATTCGTACGTGGTTTCAGGCGTGGCAGACGGAACCTGACATCCGTCGTTGTGTTTTGCGGGCTTGGCCACTGACAGTGAAACATCTTCGGGAGGTCGAGCCATCGCAGCGCTCGAGGCACATCAGGGGACCCATGTCTGCTATCATCGGTTTGTTACTCGACAGTGGGTGGTCGCCAGAGACGGCAATCTCGTGGTCTTTCCTTGGAGCAGCTCCTGAGGAAACTATCACCTGGTAGTTTGAGGACGATGTCTGGACAAATTTCGAGGATGTGGATGCTCCGCTGCATTTGATTGCAGACGTTCAGCAGTCGATCTCTAGCCGGCTGTGGCAGGATGCATCTCGCCATTTTTGCGGAGCAGGCATGGAGAAAGGAGTTGACATGACTTCCATGCGAGCCCTGTATTGATAGTTCCAGGCCGTGCCTCATGGCCATCGATTGGCGGAACTTCTGGTGACGATAGCTACTGGTGCTTCGTGGCCGAGGGTCCGCCGAAATGAAGCCGCCAGGGGGGAGCACGTGTCCAGGTTGTGTCCTCGGTGTGGCGAAGCCGACGAGGATATGTTCCATCGGGCGTGGGGCTGCGCCCAGAATGGTGGGTCAGCCGCCTATGCGCACTGTGATTCGCTTGCAGGCGCAGCCCACGCTCAAGCCCATGCAGATGAATGCTTTTGGCTGAGAGGATTGCTCCCTGCTGAGTGGGTGACCGTAGCGCCACCACCGATGCCTAAAACATGGGTTGCTGTGGGTACTCCAGGGACCGAGCTTTCAATTGAGTCTTTCGGCCATGGTCTGCAGCAGCAACCGAATTATAGATGTGGTGATGCCAGTGGTGGAGCCGATTCCAGCAGTAATGTGTTTAGGCGGGTTGGAGCCGCAATTGTGCAGATATCTAGTTTGATGCCTTTTCCGAGTGGGAGCTTCAGTCTCAGGGCCGTTGGCGGGAAAGAGCCAGAAAGTCCCGCGGGGCGAGCTGAGGGCGCTGTTACTTGCTGCACAAACCACCTCTGGACGAGTCATTTGCGTGACGGACAACAGTGGGGTGGCCGACGGATGGGCGACCCCGCGATACCAGCTCCCCACAGGGCCAGACGCGGACTTGTGGTGGCAGCTGGGACAGGTATTTCGGATTCGCGATGCTGGTGATTTCAGTGTGCTGTTCATCAACTCGCATGTCGGCGAGAAGGAGCTGGCTGCTTGTACTGCACCGCCGTGGATGGTGCAGGGCGGTACGGTGGCCGATCTTATGTCCAGGGCTGCCGCCGATAGGCACCGAGTTCCCGAGGCCGAGCGTCATGCTTCTCGAGAGGTCGAACAAAGGGCTTTCTTGGTGCGTATCAGGCTCCTTCGTGCTACGATCGATGTCTTGGAGTGTGAAAAAGAGTTGGCTGGTGAGGCTCGGAGGAAAAACGTGAGCGCCCTCAGCCCCCTCCCGGTCCTTCGGCTGCGTGTACTTTCACAACTGCCCATTCGCTTGACGAAAATGGGCGCAGATGTCTCAGATGTTTCAGCTCCGCTACCATCGTCGCTCGTGCCGCCTGGTCTGCTCGCCCGTGTTTCGTCCCAAATAACATTGATAGGGGGAAAGTTTGGGCCTCCAGAGGGGGACGCGCTGCAGATTGCGGGAGGGGAGGTACATAGTAGTCATCGGATGCGCTTACATAAGGGGTTAAAACTGTGGTTTTGTTGCCAGTGTGGGAGTTACGCCAGTCAGTGTTTAAGAGGCCTCGGATCCCAGTGTCTAGAGGCCGCGAGTCCCAAGCGTGATGAGCATTTGGCCAACATAGCGGCAAGCCGCTGGCCTAAGGCCCAAGGCCGAGCCAAGCCATCTTGTCAGGGGCCGTCGGTCACCGAACTCGCTTCGCGACCGTAGTCACTCACTCACTCACTCACTCACCCTCCTCCCCCATGGAGGGCCACAACAAATCCCTGGGGCACATCGGGAGCTTCAAGCGCTCGACGACAAGAGTGCAACGAGAGGAAAAAACACACCGAGGAGGAAGCAAGAGACAGGAGGAGGAGGAGGAGGATGAGGAGGAGGAGGAGGAGGAGGAGGAGGAAGGGGAGGAGGAGGGGCGAGGGCGAGGAGGAGGAGGAGGAAGCATGAGGATGAGGAGCGCTGGGCACCGATGAATGAAGATGGGGAATGACACGACGAACCAACATCTAATCAGGAATTCTGATCGGATCGGAATGTGTATCGAATCGGGCCGCCTTGGAGCGGAGCCGGACTCGAATCAGATCGGCCACGCTAATATGCACGACGCCGCCACGTAAGCATCAGGCCGCATCGGATCGCCAGAACATCGGAGTCAAATCGGATCTGGCCGGCCGAAATCGATGTCTAGTCGGATCGATGGGAACAAAATGGACCCAGGAGAATGAGGGAGGGGCGAGCGGGGTAGGGGGTTAGGAGGAATAAGTTAAGAGGAGGGGAGAAGAACATCAAGGGGGTAAGGGAGTACTGTGCCCTCAAGCACGAGTTGGAATGTCCTCATGTCCCTGCGAGTTCTTTCTGTCGGATACTGCACATATTCTTTAAGGCCCGCAGCCCGGAAGTCTGGGTGTTCCTGGGCGCTCCTGGGGGTTCCCCGCGTGACTTTTCCAGAGGCCAAGAGCGCGCTGTTCGGAACACACATGTCCAGCATGGCCTTACCGACCGAGACGATCATCATGGAAGCCTCTTGGGCGTCTCCTGGGCCGTCTAGAAAAGCCCTGGAGGGCGCCCCAACAAGCCTTATCGACAAAATCAATGGTGCCACCTTTTTGGTTTTCAGAGTGTCCAGGGTGGCCCAAGAGGCGCCAAAGATCGCCAAACAAAAAGGACCCAAAAGCCCCAAGAGGGGCCCAAGAAGCCTCCAAGACAGTCTGGAGAGGGGCCCAAGAGGGGGAACACGAACTTACATGATGAGCCCACCCATAACCCACAACCCAGGCACGGTGGCGGAATGTGCCAACGGCCAACTTATAATCACAGCTTAGTATCCATCACAACCATCATCATCAGCATCATCATAATCAGCATCATCACCATCATCAGCATCGAACGCGTCATCCTCATCGTCACCATCATCAGCATCATCAGCAGCATCATTCTAAGCATCATCATATGCAGCTCCATCACCACACCATCACCATCATCGCCAACATCATCATCATCATCATCATCATCATCAGCATCATCATCGTCATAGGAATCACCATCACAACACCATCATCATCACAACACCATCATCATCAGCATCATCATCGTCGTTACGAGTATCACCACCAGCTCAATCGCCATCACACCGCGATGACAACTATCATGCTCATGACACTCATCATCAAAGTTATCATCATCGCAACAATCATCATCATCATCACAATCCTCATCATCACCATCAGCATCATCACCATGACCACAGCCATCCTTATCATACCCATCATCATCATCATCATCACCATCATCATCATCATCATCAATGTCATCATCACCATAATCAGCATCAACATCCTCATCATCATCACGGTCACCACGACCACCATCATCGTCACCAGCGTCGTCATCACCATCACCTTTAACATCAACATCAACATCGTCACCACTTCAATCACCATCACCGTCAGCATCACCATCACCACGACCATCATCATCATCATCATCATCAGCATCAGCACGATCGTCACCACCACCATCATCATCATCAACAACAACATCATCATGATCAACAGCATCATCATCATCAAAATCATCATCATCATCATCCGCATCATCATCATCATCATCATAATCAGCATCATCACCATCATCAGCATCGAACGCATCATCCTCATCGTCATCATCATCAGCATCATCAGCAGCATCATTATAAGCATCATCATATGCAGCTCCATCACCACACCATCACCATCATCGCCAACATCATCATCATCATCATCATCATCATCATCATCATCATCATCAGCATCATCATCATCGTCATAGGAATCACCATCACAACACCATCATCATCACAACACCATCATCATCAGCATCATCATCGTCGTTACGAGTATCACCACCAGCTCAATCGCCATCACACCGCGATGACAACTATCATGCGCATGACACTCATCATCAAAGTTATCATCATCGCAACAATCATCATCATCATCACAATCCTCATCATCACCATCAGCATCATCACCATGACCACAGCCATCCTTATCATACCCATCATCATCATCATCATCATCATCACCATCATCATCATCATCATCATCAATGTCATCATCACCATAATCAGCATCAGCATCCTCATCATCATCACGGTCACCACGACCACCATCATCGTCACCAGCGTCGTCATCACCATCACCTTTAACATCAACATCAACATCGTCACCACTTCAATCACCATCAACGTCAGCATCACCATCACCACGACCATCATCATCATCATCATCATCATCATCATCATCAGCATCAGCACGATCGTCACCACCACCATCATCATCATCATCAACAACAACATCATCATGATCAACAACATCATCATCATCATCATCAAAATCATCATCATCATCATCCGCATCATCATCATCATCATGATCATCATCATCATCATCATCATCATCACATCATCATCATCATCATCATCATCATCACATCATCATCATCATCATCATCATCATCATCATCATCATCATCATCATCGTCGTCGTCGTCATCATCATCGTCATCGTCATTATTCTCATCGTCATCATCGTTATCACAACTCGTCTCCACCATGATCCTGCCCCCTCTTGCCCCCTCCTCCTCCTCCTCCTCCTCCTCCTCCTCCTCCTCCTCCTCCTCCTCCTCCTCCTTCCCCCCCGCGCGACGAGGAGCACGGGGGAGAAGGAGCGGGGCGCGCGCGCCGAGGGGCAGGC